CCCATTGCGAATTCATCTTAAAGGGAAAACTTTGTTTTCATAAGAGGGATTTTTTCATTTTCGAATATAATTTTAATTCAAATGAACACTTTTTCTTTCAGATAGAAATATTTTATGAGAAATAAAAATTATGACAAGGAAATAATAATTTATTTTACTGAATGATGCATTTTTCCCTCGACTGAAGGGAGAGTCCTATGAAAAATAGTTTGAGTGTGTGTTTCTCTGTGGCACTGTCACGATCAAGATTTATCGAAATGCTTAATACTCAAAGATATGTCGTCCGGGAAGGGCCTTAAGGGCAGATGTTGATAGGCGATGAGAGACAAGGTCAAAAAAAGCTTTTTCCAAAAAATTTTGAAAAGTTGAAAAACACCACTCTGAGTATGTTCAAGAGTCGAAAAAGATTGTCTATAGTGCGGTTACGAGTCAATATAAAGCAAACACCTGTTCATGTCTGAAAATTTTAGCCTTGAAGAACTTAATGGTATAATACGCAGATATCCTCGGCGCTCATATTCTAGACTAGTCGGGACACTCTCGAATCTTCATCCATCTTTCTATCTATGTATATATAATTATTTCTTCAAATTATGTAAGATGGCGGCACTAGAAGTGGAAATGATTAGAAACGAAGACAAGGTCATCCACCCTCAAGTAGTCTCTGTGTCGCCAAATAATTCGTTATTGTTTGAACTTGTTACAAAGTAAATTAAAAAGTAATAACCTATACATACAGGATTATAGCGCTTATGCGGTAATCAAATTTGGTTTAGTGTGAATGATTTCAGTGACAGAGAACATTTTTAATGCCAGTTACTCAGTCGAGAGCTCAGCTAGTCTACCACGGCGAACGTTACTTGCCTTATTTGACTGATGTTTTCTGAAAGATAATTTTTTCTTCCAAGGACCTAAAAATCTTCTGTAATAATTTCTCTGTTTAATAAGAAAAGCATTTCTCAATTCTGAAAACACAAACAAAACGATCATTTTACAGTACCATATTCTAATTTATCTGAAGTCTCACCGTTGTATATAGGTTTTACCATTTCGTCACGTCATGACATGAACTATCTTGAATCCTAATGTACACTCATTTTGCTCTATTTCTTTTTATAAAAATATAATTAAAATGAAATATCGCATGAGATAAGTTTGTAGGACTGTCGACAATTTTTTAATAGAAAAAACGATTTTTCTTAAATTAGTTTTTCATTTACACTGAAAAAATTGAAAAAAGACAAACGGAACGTTATGACACTGGTTTTGTGTATTTAAAAAGTGAGTACACTACTTGATTTGTCTTTATTGGTTTTGAAAATCTAGAACAAATAAGAAGAAAAACACATAACTTAACTCATATTTTTTATGATATAGAAAAGATGTGCCAATGAAAAGATATTCATAAACATAAACGAAACGAAAAGAAAGGGAAGGAAAAGAAACAACATATAGCACAGTTAGTGTCATCGAACGATGATGTTAACAGGTTTGCAATTGAACTTTCAAATTACATACGAAAATGAAAAAATCCCTCTTATGAAAACAAAGTTTTCCCTTTAAGATGAATTCGCAATGGGAAAGTGAGACTGATTAATAAGAATCCTTAAATCCTATTGATAGATCTCGAATAATACTTGGAAATGAATTGCTTTTATGCAATAGTTCTACGAATATAACTAAGATAAGCCTACCTTAATCTTCTCGGTCAGGAATAAAAATCACCATTACATAAGTAACTAGTAATATATCCGCTGCAAAACAATATTTTGCTACAACTCTCAATTCTTCCCTCTTTTAGAAAACAGCCATAGCTGTCATAATATTATTACGTTAAGTATCCAATAGAGCCCAGTTTTATATATGAAATTCTTTTAATTTTCACTTTTCCTTCCTCTCAGACTATATTCAATTCATTAATTGAAAGAAAAGAACAAAAACTAAGACTTCGTAAATGTAAACTAAGTATCTAACCATATATGTCAACTCATACAAGATGTATTTCAAACTTGACGGTTATCAAAGTTCGGGACCCGATCTGAGCCTACAATTCTTGGACCCGATGTTCTCTAGTATTCAGAGTGAAACGTCTCGATACTCCGCAAGATAATCCAAATTAGCTTCGTCAACTGATCTCGTTATCCGATACCCAAACTATATCATCCGAGATATGAGGATTCTCAGTGAATTTGGTCGGACGCCTCGATATCAGAAATCTACACTACATCCTTCTCAACCATCTTTAGGGTTTTAACTGCTAGAAATGATGCATAGATCGAGGCTTCGTATGCTCATCTACTCCAGCTACAAAACCTGGGCATAAAGTACCATATTATATAAGCATCAATTTCTTCAAAAGTGGTTCGCCCATGTCCAATCGTTACTCGCTGAGTATCAGTCAGATTCATTCCAACTCCTCAGCTGAACACGTAGATATAGAAAAAGCCGCTGCAAACCTTAAGTAACTTTCTTAAAACTCGGGAAAGTAACTAAAACTAACAGTGCACACAAACTGGATGAAATATCACTCAACTTTTTTCTTCTTGCAATATTTGCTTTTATTCTCACTCTCACTGAATGTTGTAGAAACGTTGACGACATTAAGCAACAAAAAATCACGTAGGTGAAATTTCACCTAAGTACTCCTGTCCAGCCTCTATCTGAAAAATCAACTTCATGTTGACCTTACTCTGAACCTACGAAAACGCCATGGAACACTCGATGTTCGTAGATACTACAAGAACTAAATACATAGCGATTAAACAGACAGACCTTCTTCTTTGTATATATAAATATCGAAAATATTTGGAACGGCAGCTATATTTGATATTAAGCTTCAATTAATTGACAAAAACAGTATATCTTCTACAATTTGCAGGAAAATTTCGATTGCAATATTATTTTACACATCTAATCCATTCTAATTGTATTTTCATTTCGGAATATAAGGGACTTGATTTGAGTTTTAGCAATAGATTTCTCGGTGTTGATTGTGGAATGAAACTCGCTAATTGTACTTTATTATGCCTCTTATTAGTAACAGTATTCGTTGCTAATCAGGCGCTCGATAGAGGCGACATTATTCTGGAACATGATTTTGATGGATCTAAGAAACAAATATATTGGAAAGGATTTCTTGGGTCTTTAATACAATTGGTTACAACGGATCGTGGCAATCAAGCATTACGTATTGAACAATATCAAAAAAATGCTCTAACAGCATGGGTAGCTCTTCCTTTACCAGTATCAATAATATCCGGCTGTAAAATTCGTATTCAGACCATTGTTAAAGCAGAAAATATTAGTTTACCTCCAAATATATGGAATGGTATTAAAGTTATGCTTCAGATACAAGCACCTAGCGGAGATAATTATCCACAACAAAATTTACTGCAAGGAACATTTGAATGGCGCTTAGTGGACTTTATTACTCGTATTCCTAATGATGCACGTCAAGTAATACTTAGACTTGGTTTAGAATAAGTGACAGGTATCGTTTGGTTTGATGATCTTAAGGTGACTATTTATAAGAAACCACGTTCTCATCCACCATCAATTCCATCAACAGGACTACCTTATAAAGGTCATAGCTTGCCACGATTACGAGGCGCAATGATAGGTACCAATCTCAAAGAGAAAGATTTTCGAGATTTTGGTTCTTGGAATGCTAATCATATTCGTTGACAATTAATGTGGGATGAATTTCCTCAAAGTCCAGTAGACAATGGCAATATGACCGCTTATGAAGAATGTTTAGAAGGTTTACTGAAACATCTTGACTCGATGTTACCAGTATGCCGTGAATTAGGTATATATATACTCATTGATTTACATACATCTCCTGGTGGTCGTAATACTGATAATGAATGGAATTTATTTAAAGAAAAACGTTTTCAAAATACATTCATTTCCTTATGGAGAAAAATTGCACAACGTTATAGAAATGAATCAATTGTTTGGGGTTATGATCTTGTCAATGAACCAGTTGAGGGAATAGTCCCAGAAGACCTTATGGATTGGCGTGAATTAGCTATCGCTACAATTCAACGTATTCGTACCATTGACACTGAACATGCCATCATTATCGAAGGAGAACCATGGGGAGGAGCAAATGCTCTAATTGATCTTGAACCAGTACCTTTTGATAAGATAATCTATTCATTTCACATGTATGAGCCTTATACATTTACACATCAAAATATTTATAATAATATATCTCCTATAACTTATCCCGACATGGTAGATGGTAAAATATGGAATATAAATCAAATACGTCTTAGTATGAAACGTGTTCTTGATTGGCAACGTGATTATAATGTTCATATATATGTTGGTGAATTCTCGGCAATTCGTTGGGCACCAGGAAATAGTACTTATGCATATATGCGTGATGTTATAGATGTTTTTGAAGAAAATGATTGGGATTGGGCTTATCATGCATTTCGCAAATGGTCCGACTGGAGTGTCGAACATATTGGAGATAAATATAATACTCAAACTGCTCCTGTTCCAACTGATCGACAAATACTCTTGATGAATTGGCTCAAGAAAAATCAACACTAAGCATCTTCAGTTCAAATTCATTTGATTTATTTCGGCTTCCCATCCACATAAAAGAAAGAAATAATAGTACTTTGCCGACACCTCTATTTACTACGATATATTTCAAAAACAGGAGTTTTTATTGGCGTATTTTTTTGCCATTGTATAGTATTGTCAACGAGGATGCATCAATCCCAAATTTGACACCGGTTTTAATATGAAAGCTACAATTTCTACTGAAACGTCTGAAAAATAGCGATTCTAAGGGAATGCTGATGAAAATGTTCACATTATCATGATTTTTCCTTCAGAATAGAAATTTAATAGCAATGTAGTTTTTTTGCATAGGCTTTCAAAAAGCCTTCGTTTTTAAGGGGCATGTGAATAATAATGAAGTTTTGGCCGGAATACATTCAAAAAAGGTAAAAATTGGTGACGAATTTCCGTATTTCTAGTTTTTCGATCTTAAAATCTATTCAATATATTCAAGTCATTTAGCGAATTTTCTAGAGAAGATTTTGCGCTATCTGATAGAATAAAATATTTCTATGTTTGATCCATATTGAATGATGATATTGATCATACAAAGAATTTCTGAACAAAAATGTCGAACTTTGTATATTGATTCAAGATATTAAACTTAGTACTTTGATGTTGCCACCATTGTGTTTACTTGATACTCCACAACTTTAGATTTGATATATACGCATACTATGGTCTCTGGAACTACGTATCAAAAATCGACATCTCAGAACCATATTCGAACAACTCTGATAGATTTACTCTTTAATAACTAGTAAAGTTCGTCGAGGTAGACTCGCTTAATCCTCAACTGAAAAATTTTTATACTCCAAATGAATGGATTCCTTTCGGCACAATTTCTCGCTAGAGTTCTATTTCCCTCGTGATTCGGCTTATCCGAAAACCTTTCGAGCATCAAGAGTCTTAACTCGAGAACTTAATTCACTACACTCATGAGAAGTCTTACAGGGTAACGTCTAATCATTACAATCCACCATTTTCCATACCACCCTCTCTGGTCCTATGGTTCATTGTAGAGACAGAACCAGAATTTTTCCGTGTAGGGGAGCTTAGACCGTTCAAGCGCACCCTTTTCAGTGTTTTTTTGACCTAATTCCCCTCAAGCAACCTCGAGCTTCAAAATGCCTTCCAGACCATCTTTTATGAAGTTTTGAGCCTTATTAAAAAAAAACATTTTTTTACCTTCGATCCTGGCACAGAGAAAACAAACAGACATACAAACTTTTTTTGGCAACGAAACTTTTTCAAACGACAGTGTATTGAGGATCAATATCTGAAACAAAACGAAATAGTTGACTGACGTCCGCTTGTTGGACATTCGTGCTCATCAGCATATCAATGACAAGACAATTATATGAGCAGCTCTATTAAACAAATGTCGTGATTTTTTTAAGAAAGGATAGAAGGAAATGGACTGCTTCGTGTGGAAAGTGATTTTCGTGTAGTTTTAAGGTTCATGCAGAGACTCGTATGCGTATGTAGCATTCTTAAATTTTCGATTATGCATCGATTTTCCAAAATGAGATCATTTTCGGATAACATCTTCGTCCAAATGAAGTTTAGATGGTAAAATGGGTATGCATGCGAACGACTAGCTGTGAGTGGCCAACCGACTAGGCGTTTATTTAGGTTTCTTAGTAGAGACAAAATAAGTGCAACTAAATTGATTTTTGATTTTGAATAGTCGGAAGAGAGTCGCTGACTAAATGTTTAGAAACAGTCAGTCTTCAGTTTGCTTCTATCTTTGGCCAAATGAATTGAAAGTAATTTGACACGAATAAAATAGAAAAGTGACTTCATTTCGGAGCCAATTAGATTAAGATCTAAGCAAATTATTGAGTTTTGATTAGATTTGGTTTGACATCACTTCTCCGCATCTGTGATCATCAGTCTTCAAGACTTTGGAATTGAAGTTTCAAGTTATACACAAAAATGGATGTGGCCTCGTCAATAGCGAAGGCGGAAAAGTCATTCTTATGAAAACAAAATTCTTCCTTTAAAAATGACTGCGCGATGTACAAGTCTTTGAGGAATTCACTAAGGCGAATTAATTAAAATCCTTAAGTCCTGTTGACAGATCTCAAATAATACTCAGAAATGAACTGCCTTTATGTACTAATTCTGCTAATGTCACTAACGTAAGATGAGTTTATCTTAAGCTTCTCAGGCAGAACAAAAAAGTAGAACACTTTTGTCTTTGTGACTCATTCAGAAAAGATGTTTAATGTGTTAATAATTAATTACAGAAAAAAAAGAAATCAATGTATATGGAAATGAGTACAATATCTCATCAGCTTCAGCAAGTAATAGTTAGGTGGCAAAGGCGGGCGTTGTATTCGGTTGATGAGTCGTCACAGGACGTTGATTATTCATTCGGCGCATCCGAGTACGTATTTGATCGTATTTAAGCATTTTTTCCAATTCTTGTCGATAAATTTTACCGGTTAAAATGTAAAAGAAAAACGCAATAAAAAAGCCTCCTTGTTGCCAAACAACTGTCAAAGTTCGTATTGTATTATAGTAAGTCGTATTTAGTGAAGGTATAAAAGTCACCATTATATAAGTAATACCAGAAGGTGTAAAAAACATAAAATACACAGCTACTTGAATGACTAACATTCGAGCTAATTGACTTTCAGTACGACAGTGAGTATTCGATCGACCTTCTACAAACACACGACATGTCTGACNGAGAATTACGAATCTCAAATCAGGTTTTACATATTATATAAACAGAAACTTCAGTGATATTATAGAGGATGATTTCTACGAGAAAGAGCTGAGCGAGTCCACAGACGAGCGATACTTGTATTCAAGTCATTTCGCGAATTTTCTAGAGAAGATTTTGCGCTATCTGATAGAATAAAATATTTCTATGTTTGATCCAAATTGAATGATGATATTGATGAAACAAAGAATTTCTGAACAAAAATGTCGAACTTGGTATATTGATTCAGGATAATAAACTGAGTACTCTAATGTTGCCACTATTGTGTTTACTTGATACTCCACAACTTTAGATTTGATATACGCATACGATGGTCTCTGAAACTACGTATCAAAAGTCGACATCTCATAACCATATTCGAACAACTCCGATAGATTTACTCTTTAATAACTAGTAAGGTTCGTCGAGGTAGACTCGCTTAATCCTCAGCTGAAAAATTTTTATACTCTAAATGAATGGATTCCTTACGGCACAATTTCTCGCTAGAGTTCTATTTCGCTTGTGATTCGACTTATCCGAAAACCTTTGAAGCGTCAAGAGTCTTGACTCGAGAACTTGATTCACTACGCTCATGAGAAGTCTTACAGGGTAACGTCTAATCATTACAATCCACAATTTCTTGAGTATCAATCATTCAAGTAATACTATTGCACTCCACCCCTACTCAATCCATCCTTTTCCATATCACCCTCTCTGGTCCTATGGTTCATTGTAGAGACAGCACCAGAAGTTTCTGTGTAGGGGAGCTTAGACCGTTCAAGTGCACCGTTTTCAGTATTCTTTTGACATAATTCTCCTCAAGCAATCTCGAGCCTCAAAATGCCTTCCAAACCATGTTTTATGAAGTTTTGAATCTTATTAAAAAAAACATTCTTTTACCTTCGATCCTGGCACAGACAAACAAATAGACATGCAAACTTTTTTTTCAACGAAACTTTTTCAAACGACAGTGTATTGAGGATCATTATCTGGAACAAAACGAAATAGTTGACTGACGTCCGCTTGTTGGACATCCGTGTTCGTCAGCATATCAATGACAAGACAATTATATAAGCAGCTCTATTAAACAAATGTGGTGATTTTTTAAGAAAGGATAGAAAGAAATGGACTGCTTCGTGTGTAAAGTGATTTTCGTATAGTTTTAAGGTTCATGCAGAGACTCGTATGTGTATGTGAAATTCTTAAATTCTCGATTATGCATTGATTTTCCAAAATGAGCTTATTTTTGGATAACATCTTCGTCCAAATGAAGTTTAGATAGTAAAATGGGTATGCATGCGAACAGCTAGCGGTGAGTGGTCAACCAATTAGGCGTTTATTTGAGTTTCTTAGTGTAGACAAAATAAGTGCAACTAAATTGATTCTTGATTTTGAATAGTCGGTAGAGAGTCGCTGACTAAACGTTTAGAAATAGTCTTCAGTTTGCTTACATCTTTGTCCAAATAAATTGAAAGTAATTTGACACGAATGAAATAGAAAAGTGACTCCATTTTGGAGCCAATTAGATTGAGATCTAAGTAAATTATTGAGTTTTAATTAGATTTGGTTTGACATCACTTCTCCGCATCTCTGATCATCAGTCTTCAAGACTTTGGAATTGAAGTTTCAAGTTATACACTAAAATGAATGTGGCGTCGTAAATAGCGAAGGTGGAAAAGTCATTCTTATGAAAACAAAAATTCTTCCTTTAAAAATGACCACGCGATGTACAAGTCTTTGAGGAATTTACTGAGGCGAACTAATTAAAGTCCTTAGGTCCTGTTGATAGATCTCAGATAATACTCAGAAATGAACTGTCTTTATGCACTAATTCTGCTAATGTCACTAACCTAAGATGAGTTTGTCTTAACCTTCTCAGGCAGAACAAAAAAGTAGAACACTTTTGTCTTTGTGACTCATTCAGAAAAGATGTTTAATGTGTTAATAATTAATTACAGAAAAAAAAGAGCTCAATGTATATGGAAATGAGTATACGATATCTCATCAGCTTCAGCAAGTAATAGTTAGATGGCAAAGGCGGGCGTTGTATTCGGTTGATGAGTCGTCACAGGACGTTGATTATTCATTCGGCGCATCCAAGTACGTATTTGATCGTATTTAAGCATTTTTCCCAATTCTTGTCGATAAATTTTACCGGTTAAAATGTAGAAGAAAAACGCAATAAAAAAGCCTCCTTTTGCCAAACAACTGTCAAAGTTCGTATTGTATTATAGTAAGTCGTATTTAGTGAAGGTATAAAAGTCACCATTATATAAGTAATACCAGAAGGTGTAAAAAACATAAAATACACAGCTACTTGAATGACTAACATTCGAGCTAATTGACCTTCAGTACGACGGTGAGTATTCGATCGACCTTCTACAAACACACGACATGTCTGACTTCGAATATTCTTTATTGTTAATAGGCCAAATATGCCTAATATGATCGGTATTGCAAAGTAATAAAGAATAACTCGACTCATAAGATAAATTGTGGCTAATGTTGAAGTATATGCAACACATTTATTACTCAGAATACTATTATAGTCATAATAATAAGATATGAGAAATGGAATCATATATAATATAATGAGAATCCATACACAAAAAATGACTCGTCGAGCAATATAAACTCGACTAAATTGACGCAAACGAGCCGAAGCTGAACTTGCACAAAATCGATCAACTGAGGCACAAATTAACATTGATCCATACAATAGCGGTGACCCATAAACAACAAATTGAACAATTTTGCAAGTTATTGGTGTACTATGCATACGAAAACCAAAATAATATATGAGTATAGTATTCAAAGGTGTTACAATAACATAAGCTAAAACAGGTGGAATTGAAGCTAGAAAATAATAAGTACACGAAGATAATCGTAGAGCACGACGCCAAAGAACACAAGCATTTAAAAGACTTGTGAACACTATGAACACCATTGTAACTGAAAAAGCATAGGCAGTTGCTTGATTGGCTATCGCAACAAAATTATATCCATTAGATGGTGAAGATGAGGTCGTTGTACCACTCATTGTTTTGAGAAATTTTCAAATAAATAGATTTTTTTGCTCCGTATATATCTATATATGAACTACATTTCTTAATTAAGAAAAGAGAATCCCACAGTAATAAAGTAACTATAAAAGATCGAATTAGTGACGAGGAAGAAGAAGAGATTACATGTGACGTCATTTATTCTAGATTAATGCTTCATTTTCCATAATTCAACACGCCTGTAATACGAATATGAAAGCATGTCAAAATACCGATCTAAATGAACCATCTTCATCGCCTTCTACAGTTGAAAAACTGTATATACATCCTATGCGACAAATTTGTAACCCGAACTTGTTGTTAAGCTTGCACGTATTCACGTCTCTACCCAACCGATTTTGTTAATTCGAAGAAATCAATCGTAAAAGTCAAGTACAGGAAAAACAAACAATCATATTTTATTTCAAATTTAAATTACTTTGTTCAAAATAAATATTCAATGGTCCGACGATTGAGTCCCCGCGAATGAGTCATATGTAAGAGAAATCACTTGGATCAAAGCAGAAAACTAATGGGAATAGTTTAATGCAACCGAAACATGTAAACACACGATATCTAATGCACTCAACAGTTTGTATCAATATGAATTATAATAAACCAGTTCGAGAATAAGAAAAGATATTTGTTCACATTATTTTTCTCTGGTTTCGTGTATATATTTCGTCTTTAGTATTTCATCCAGCAAAAGTAGAATAGCTGCTAGCTGATGTTATCTAACAAAAAGAAAAAGAACAAAATATGAACTTCAAAATAAAATAAAAACTGTAATTATTATGTATTAATCTTTCATATACTGTACCAATCGATACATATTTTAAAAAGCAAGAGCTCTCTTCGATTTCTAATGTTGATATGGAACGAATCTCTCTGTTTCTTCAATTAATTTCTCTCGTATGGAATTCATTTATCGGTGCACCGAATTAGAATTATATACAATTTAGAATCGATTTTCTTTGAGAATTAGTTTTTCTATGAAGATTTGTTTTTAAAATCTCGATTTCTACTCATTTACGTATAAATATTGTTGATTTGCCAAGAGAAAAAGAAAAAACGAATGAAGCGAAAACAGATATTATCCTCCGAACACTATCGCGTCGCGATTCAAAACGAATGTCTGAAGACGCCAAACGAAAATATTCATTTTTTTTTTCGTCAATAACGACACTCGTACTATAAGAATATACACACCCTGATTTGTAAATACGCAAAAAAAAAACATCAACGTATATTCAAAGGCAAAATAATGTTCTCAGACATACAGGTTCACGTGTACTTTGAGAAAATATTTCGAAAGATATAAAGGTAGACGAACAATCCTCTTCCTCTCCCTCAAATAAAGGTGTATTCTCTTTTTCTCTTAATTCATCTATTTATTTTTATCCTATATACTTTAATATTATTCTTGGAGAACAGAAAAATATATTTCTTTCGATGTATAAAAGTGATGTTACATTGAAGATATTGACGAAAATCCAATTTTTTTACATCAAGTGATGGGAAAGACGAATGTTATTACAAAAATATTTCTTGTTTTGGTAACTATCGTTGGTATTATTGCATTGATTCTTTTGATTATCGGTGTTGCTACGAGAAAATGGCTTAGTATTTCGAGTAGTTTATCTCCATTAGAGACCCAAATAAGTGGAGTTCTGAGTAATACAACATTTCTTACTTCACTTATCATTGCAACACGAGCGAGTCAAACTCAAGTTGTACAAATAGTTTTAGCAACTGCACAGAAAGTTAAAGATCAATTAAATGCCGCAACTGCTAATCATACAACTTATCATTTGTATGGAAAAGATCCAAATATACCTGAAACATCATTAAGCTTCAAAACATCTCAAGGTTTTGTTTTTGCTGGAATTGGATCACTTTTCTTCGGTCTTTTATTAGCGATTATCATTACATTATTACCATTACCACGTTTTATTCGTCTTCTCCCACTGTTACTTCTAATAATTGGACCAATTTTAATTACAATTGGATTTGTTCTTTATCCAAAAACAGTTATCGAAGATTTCGGTAATTCTTTACAGGTTTCAATTGATATTGGTTACAGTATCATCCTTGTGATCATTGCATCAATTATTGGTTATATCACAGCTGCTCTCTTTGCTTTTATCATTCTTCAACCACGTCAAAATTCACCACAAAAACCTCCTACTCGTACCTTTGCACCCCGTTCAATATTTCGACCTTCATATCCAATCAGAATGAAGAGGAATTGGTGATCACATTCGCGAAGGAATTCGTTTCTAAAGAACATTTGACGATGTAGTTTCGTTATTCCAAACTAGATTTAGGAATCCATTTTTTTGTAAATATTTCCCTGTATTTGAGAAATATTCTGTAGTTAACCTACTGTTTATTTCAATCTGAATTAAATTTCAAGAAAAACTTCATTTTTTCTCTATGAAAGTCAATTTTCTCTACGAAGATCATCTTGACAATATCAAAATTCTTGTTTATTTCTAAATACAATTATGACAAACACCCACAACATCTAATTAAACGCAGAAATTAAATGAAAACATTATTTTGCTGCCTTTATGAAAAAAAGAGCTGCTCCACCAACGATGAGAGGTGTTGCTATGAGTGCACCAATGAGAAGAGCTATTTCTCATAATATTGATGATTTCTTCGCTTCTTGTCGTACTTCCGTTGTTTCATCTGGTTCGGCTTTCTCAACTTCATCAATAAGTTCTTTGTGTGATTCTGCTAGAGCTCTAACATAATTTTCTCCATTTTGAGCTTCTCGATAGATTCTTTTGTATTTTTCCATTGATTTCTCAATTGCAGAATTGTTTTTAGTATTATTATTTTCTTCAATTGCATAAAGTAAACAATTTGTTCCATCACGTGCTTGTTGAATTGATCGAGAGTAAATAGACATTGTTCTATCGAGAAGTCCTCGAACATGATCAACCACTGCCGATGGAATCGATTGAATTCTATTTAAATTGAAAATATTTTGTAATGAAAATACTGAAAAGGTAAAAAAATTGTTGTTATAATAAATAAATGCCAATTCGTACTTATAGCACTGGCATGTGTAGCAATATTTAACGAATCCAATGCTGTATCAATGCATGCATGAACAGTATTCGATGTAAATTGGCTTTGTTGACGTTCACGAGGTGTTTTAAATGTTGTCGATGAATGCGCATTTCTTCAAGTTGTTTTACAATTGATAAATCCTCGACTCGTTTTTTTTGACGAACTATTGCTTGTATATCTTCATTCGTTGAATCATCTCAGAAAGTATTGATGAAAACATTTAGATCAATTGGATTGAGAGAGAGTTCGTTTGATGTTGTTGTATCATCATTTGTTGTTCCAAATGTACTGTTCATATCCGAATCACTCATTATTGCTTCTAGTCTTTGTTAAATGAACTAAACATTAAAAAAGTACTTCCGTTCAGTATTTTTTCCCAGTGACGTCTTCATTGTATGAAATCGAACGATTGGCCAATAATATATACGGAAGAATTTTTTTCCCAGAAAGAAATGCCTTATGAACAAAAACATGTGTTGGAAATAAAGATGCCGTACAAATACACACTGTCGGTATTAATTAAACTCAGTGTGTGCATCGAAGGAAAAATTTCTGAACACAATATAAACGTATTTCACATATCTGAAATGATTTTTTCAATTATTTATCGTAATCTAGATAAATTAATTGAGATAACAAATAAATTTGAAAAAAAGATGAGAGTTTCAACAAAGAGTCAAACGATAGAAAGGCTCATCGATTATACACAGCAGCTGATGGTTGAAGTAAAAAAAGAAGACGTCCAAGAATAGATTTTATTAAATATTTTCCAAACAGATATATTTGATCGTAACACAACGATATTTTCGACAGAAAAAGAATATTATTACGAGTTAATACTCCGAGTTTAATTATTCGCCTGAGAGATTGGAATGTTTCGTTCTGTGATACACAAAGAAATATTCTTTATCCAAAGTATTTATTNAATTTATTGGTGTACTATGCATACGAAAACCAAAATAATATATGAGTATAGTATTCAAAGGTGTTACAATGACATAAGCTAAAACAGGTGGAATTGAAGCTAGAAAATAATAAGTACACGAAGATAATCGTAGAGCACGACGCCAAAGAACACAAGCATTTAAAAGACTTGTGAACACTATGAACACCATTGTAACTGAAAAAGCATAGGAAGTTGCTTGATTGGCTATCGCAACAAAATTATATCCATTAGATGGTAAAGATAATGTCGTTGTACCACTCATTGTTTTGAGAAATTCTGAAATGAATAGATTTTTTTGCTCAGTATATATCTTTATGAACTACATTTGTTAATTAAGAAAAGAGAATCCCACAGTAATAAAGTAACTATAAAAGATCGAATGAGTGGCGAAGGAGAAGAAGAGATTACATGTGACGTCATTTATTCTAGATTAATGCTTCATTTTCCATAATTCAACACGCCTGTAATACGAATATGAAAGCATGTCAAAACGCCGACCTAAATGAATCGTCTTCATCGGCTTCTACAGTTGAAAAACTGTATATACATACTATACGACAAATTTGTAACCCGAACTTGTTGTTAAGCTTGCACGTATTCACTTCTCTACCCAACGGACTTCGTTAATAATTCGAAGAAATTAATCGTATAAGTCAAGTGCAATAAAAAATAATCATATTTTATTTCAAGTTTAAATTACTTTGTTCAAAATAAATATTCGATGGTCCGACGATTGAGTCCCCGCAGATGAGCCTACTGGTAGCTGTGCTCCTAAGAAATCAGCCTTATGTAAGAAAAATCAATTGGATCAAAGCAGAAAATTAATGACAACAGTTCAATGCAACCGAAACATGTAAACACATGACATATAATGCATTCAACAATTTGTATTAAGAGAGGTTATAATAATAAACCAGTTGCACGAAACAAAAAGATATTTGTTCACATTATTTTTCTGTGATTTCGTGTAGATACTTCGTCTTTAGTATTTCATTCAGCAAAAGTAGAATAGCTGCTAGCTGATGTTATGAAACAAAGAAAAGGAACAAAATATGAACTTCAAAATAAAAAAAAAACTGCAATTATTATGTATCAGTCTTTCATACTGTACCAATCGATACATATTTTTAAAAAAAGTAAGAGCTCTCGTCAATTTCTAATGTTGATATGGAATAAATCTCACTGTTTCTTCAATTGATTTCTCTCATATGGAATTCATTTATCGATGCACCGAATTAGAATTATATACAGCTCAGAATCGATTTTCTGTGAAGATTTATTTTGAAAATCTCGATTTCTACTCATTTGCGTTTGAATATTATTGATTTACCAAGCGAGAAAGAAAAAAAAACCAATGAAGCGCACATAGATAATATCCTCCGAACACTATCATTCAGCGATTGAAAAAGAATATCTGAAGACGTCAAACGAAAATATTTATATTTTTTTCGTCAATAACGACACTCATACTATAAGTATATACACACCCTGATTTTGTAAATACGCAAAAAACCATCAACGTATATTCAAATATAAAATAGTGTTCTTAGACATACAGGTTCACGCGTACTTGAGAAAATATTTCGAAAGATATAAAGGTAGACGGACAATCCTCGTTCTCTCCCTCAAATAAAAGTACGTTCTCTTTTTCTCTTAATTCATCTATTTATTTTTATCCTGTATATTTCTATATTACCCTTGGAGCACAATAAAATAAAATATTTTTCTCGATATATAAAAATGATGTTACATTGAAGATAATTGGCGAAAATCCAATCTTTTAATGATGGGAAAGACGAATATTATTACAAAAATATTTCTTCTCTTGGTAACTATCATTGGTATTATTGCATTGATTCTTTTGATTATCGGTGTTGCTACGAGAAAATGGCTTAGTGTTTCGAGTAGTTTATCTCCATTAGAGACTCAAATAAGTGGAGTTTTGAGTAATACAACATTTCTTACTTCACTTATCATTGCAACACGAGCGAATCAAACTCAAGTTGTACAAATAGTTTTAGCAACTGCACAAAAAGTCAAAGAACAATTAAATAACGCAGCTGCTAATCATACAACTTATCATTTGTATGGAAAAGATCCAAATATACCTGAAACATCATTAAGCTTTAAATCATCTCAAGGTTTTGTTTTTGCTGGAATTGGATCAATTTTTTTTGGTATTTTATTAGCGATTATCATTACATTATTACCATTACCACGTATTATTCGTCTTCTTCCACTATTACTTCTAATTACTGGACCAATTTTAATTACAATTGGATTTGTTCTTTATCCAAAAATAGTTATCGAAGATTTTGGTGATGCTTTAGATATTTCAATTGATGTTGGTTACAGTATTATTCTTGTGATCATTGCATCAATTATTGGTTATATTACAGCTGTTCTCTTTGCTTTTATTATTCTTCAACAACGTCAAAATTCACCACAAAAACCTTCTACTCGTGCCTTTACACCTCGTTCAATATTTCGACCTTCATATCCAATCAGAATGAAGAGGAGTTGGTGATCACATTGGCGAAGAAATTCGTTTCTAAAGAACTTTTGACGATGTAGTTTCGTTATTTTAAACTAGATTTACAAATCCCTTTTTTTGTAAATATTTCTCTGTATTTTACAAATATTTTGTAGTTAACCTACTGTTTATTTCAATCTGAATTAAATTTCAAGAAAAACTTCATTTTTTCTCTACGAAGATCATCTTGATAATATCGAAATTCTTGTTTATTTCCAAATACGATTATGGCAAACACCCACAACATCTAATTAAACGTAGAAATTAAATCAAAACTTTATTTTGGTGTCTTTATGAAAAAAAGAACTGCTCCACCAACGATGAGAGGTGCTGCTATGATTGCACCAATGAAAAGAGCTATTTCCCATAATATTGATGATATCTTCGCTTCTTGTCGTACTTCCGTTGTTTCATCTGGTTCGGCTTTCTCAACTTCATCAATAAGTTCTTTGTGTGATTCTGC